AAAGATTAAGCTGCAGCCTTCCCCAATACATCAAATGTGTGCCGTCAAGGAAAAACCTGTCGGATTATTTTTTCTAATAAAAGCAAAATTATATAGAATGCCATCGCAAAGAAATTAATGCTACTCGAGTTTTATATATATTTGAAATAAAGAAAAACAATTCTAATAGTTAATTTCTTTTTTGTGATATTCTTGAATAATTTGCTTATCCTTTCTTTAGTGTTATCTTCAAACGAGATGAGTGCTGTCAAGGGAAAGCCTGTCATCGGGCTTTCAATTATATTTTATATCGAACTCTATATATTTGATTTTTTATTTATTGTTTTTGGTCTAAGATAAAATTGAAAACCCAATGACAGGTTGGATCACTTGCAGTATAGGTGACACTTATTCTAAATCAATTGATTAATAATACGTTTTATCAATAGTGTCACCTATACTGCAAGGGATCCAAATAAAAATTAAAAAGAGTTCCGCCAACTAAAAACCAGGAAGTCTAAATATAGATTACTATAAAATAAATATTATACTATATTTAGGCATCCTGCGGAATCAGACGATTAACCACCGTGAAATATTATCCTAGTACACATGATCCGGATGTGTTGTAAGAAGCTATTGTTTGCGTAAAAAGCTGCATTTAAATTTGGTATATATTCTCTAATTCATATAATCATCAATAAAAATTGGGTGCAACGATAAATCTTAAATTAAGGGAGTGTACTTGCGAATTTTAATACGATTTCATACCTAAAATGTTTTTCTAGAACAAAACACTGAAGTTAAATCTAGATAACAAGTAAATAAATTTTACATTTCTAGATCAGGAATAATTTTATATAATGATAAGATGCAAGCCATTAGTGGTGGTAATTACTTTTATAGATATGTGCCTAAATTATTTAAATTATTTGTCGCAGTTGATGCTGAAATTCGGACCTATTTAAAATTTTTTTGGAGTGCTTTTGTCCTTTTTTTTTTTAGGGTTAGATTAGGATTTGGGGTTAGAATGGATAATTAAAGAGTAGATGTTAATTTTAGCAGGGTTTATATTTTCAAATTGAGGCTCTAAATTTCAGAATCAGCCGTTTTCAGCATCAGCCGTTTTCAGTATCAGCTGCTACAATTATTTTTGAAAAGAAATATTTTTGGCAAGCATTTCGACATTGATACATTTTTTACGTAAAACATCTTCCGAAGTAACAATATTATACTATGATGTATTTTGATGAAAAGAATTTAAAAAATTTCGAAAATATTTTTGGCAAATATTTCGACAACTATGAAAGACTAATTTAGGTTGACTAAATGCTGCAATGATTTTTTATGATGATAGGCAATTTAGGCCTTGTATAATTATTTTAATACATAATAACATAACACATACATTATGTGGATTAAATTTTATTTATATAAAATAAAAAAGGGATTCGTGTCATCCCAGGAACAACGGGTCCCCCTATTTTCTAGTTTAATAGTAGACATCCCTTAAGAAAAAAAGCATTTGGAAACCAGCAACACTCATTAATGTTGCTAAAGAAAAATCAAACTTCGGAATTTAAATTTATAACATGTCGGACTAAATCCTTGAAATATCTGAAAAATTGAATTCAATAAGTTATGTATAAATTTAAAAGCCCAAAGTCTGGTGTTCCATTGGCGTCATTCATACGCCGATTAAACAGGTTATATAATGCACATTGACACACGTTGCATACGTATACTAAAAACATTCAGTACTAGCTTCTAAGAACACAAATGATTATCAATAGAACTTATTTTTAAAAGAAGTGCTTGTTAGATACGTTGCCAAATTAACCAAGATGGAATGTATCTGACGTTTTAAGCCAATTTCTTTGAACAATTAAAAGATTCGAATTCATAATGCATGTGGCGAGGTCTTGCATGCCTATCATTAGCCATTTTTATCATATGCGGCACAAGATTGTATCCGGATCACAAAAAAATTTATTATGCTTACCGAATAAGTTTAAATTCGTTTCTGCCCTCCGCGCCAGTTGCATTGCGATTAATGCTAACTAATTAGTTTTTATTAAACAATCTTACAATAAAAAATCATAATCACATGTGTAACAACACAAACTAACAAATACGCACTTATCAGAAGGTACATTGTCAATCAGCATCAAAAGCTTCTTTATTAGCGCTAATATAGTTCACTATATGGATTATATTTTTTTAGCATTTCTTTAATATATTATTTTTAAATATTAAAATCCCAAAAAAGAAACAAAGATTTGTTACTTCTCTAATCTAAGACACAATGAAAATAATCAACGTTGATTTTTCTACTCATTAAAGTCAAACCAGTCAAACCGAGTACTTTCAATTATAAATAACACAAAAAATACAAAATCCGATTCAAAAAAATTTTAAATAAAAAAAAACAATAATTAAGGAATAAAGATCGTCGTTTGTAAAGGTGCAAATTCTGTTTTCGATATGTAATATTGCATTTACAACTATGAATGAGGCCAAAGGATTAACTACTTTACCAAGTAAGAAGTAATCAAAATTAGTTTTTTTTTTTTTATAAACTTTTTTTTTTTGCTATTCTTTTAACATTTATTCTTTTAGTTAATACCGCTACTAGCACACAAGGCACAAACATTTACATGAAACTAACTCGAAAAGAGTATGCTACATCTAAAAATAAAAACATTAATTTAAGAGTGTATGACTGCAAACGTAGCAAGCATTCTTTGGATTACATTACAAGTGCTAACAATTATAAAATAAACGGTTCTGAAGAATTAGAAAATTCTATTAGAGACATCTTATTCCGATTAATGATACTGTTGAGGCAAGAACCTAATGAAGTGAAAACAATTATCAACAATATTATGATTGAGTTTAGGCCTCGTACAAACTTAATACTCATGCTTAGATCAATCATTGTTTTTTTTATGAAATTAAACTACCAAATGACTAAACTACCAACTGCTGCTATAAACAAACTAGTAAAAAGTATTTGGAACGATGAACTGGATCCTCAGGATAAAATTGATTTTGAAACAATGTTTGTAGCAACTAAACGTGAAGTATTTGGTCAGCATGTCAAACAAAAACAGTATGATAGTATCATAAAATTTTAAGAATTCAAATACTAGTCATTTTTTTTTAACTTTTTAAAATCATGAATTCAAATTATTCAGTTTGTAGTTTTCTAAGCAATAAGCAAATTTGGTTCATATTATATTGTTGTAAATCTTTTCGTGTTAATTAAAGTTAATGCATAGTAAAGTTTTTATTTAACTTAGAGGCAAGCATTAAAAAACGTACTAGTTTATATATATATATGTATATATAATATTTGGTAAATATAACAAACTCCGTCTTTTAAAACTTTTAAAATTTAAACTGCTATTTATTTAACAAACTATTTATAAAATAAGCTACGTATTTTGAAACCAGTATGCATAAAAATAGAATTCCTTATATAATAGAACGCGGGCTTTTAACATATCTAACTATATAGAATGATTGATTGTATTGTTTTTTGTCATATATTATCATTTAAAGCCCATATTCTGTTATCTAACGAATTTTATTTTTAGACTTTCTTATTTAATTGCCTATAAAAAAGGTTTGTTCAGTTTTGTCCGAAAAAATGTTCGGAACGGAGTCGATTTTCCGGATGCCAATAAGATATTGTACAATTTTTATACTGTGATGTAAAAAAAGAAATTTTTTGGTTGACAACATTAGGTATAAGCATTGTACAGTATACGGTATGTTCGGAAAATCGACTCAATTCCGAACATTTTTTGAACAAAAACAGAATAACTAGAAAATTTTTAGAACATTGCCGACAAAATTTGGACAAAATTTTTTTATAGGGATTTGGTAACGGCTATTTTTTTAACCTTGACAACCATGCCGTTGTGATTTTATTAGTTAATAATTACATATGATGTTACGTGGTATTACTAACTGTTTCTGACCTTACTCGGCTGCTTCTATGAGTGCCTAGGTAAAGGTTGTCATACTAGCCAAGTACCAGACAGTACCAGGTCTAGAGTCTTGGTTAAAACACTATGCATAACAAATTATTTTTTCTATACAAACAGATTATCTATATTATCTGGATTTTTGTTTTATTTACTAACTATATTTAGCTAATTGATATTTTTTTATATTTAAAGAATAATAAGAAAAAAGTATATTATTTATAGAGATCAAGTACAGTCAAACCTCTTTATAGTCACACCTTCGGGATACAAAAAGGGTGATTATAGAGAAGTATGCCAATTATAGAGGTTAAATTTATTATATTTATAATAATATGCTTAAAAAGCATATGTGCTTATATAGAAGGTGACTATAGAAAGGTTTGACTGTATATATTTTAACCAAAATCTAAGTATAATTTAGAAATTTAACTATACTTTGTTATATTGTTTATAATAAAATCTATTTATAAAAATATACTGTATTTTAATTTTTAATAAAACTTTTTATATATTTTACTATGTATATATATATTATATTTAATTTTATTTTTAATTATTATCTTTTTACTATGTATATATATATTATATTTAATTCTAGTTTTAATTATTATCATGATTCTTGTTTATTATAACCTACTTGTAAAACTTCTATATCTGTATAGTCAGAGTCCTCTTTATTATTTTTGGCTTATTGTAATTATCTATTTGTATAAAAAATTAAATCTTTTTAAAGTAATAACTGATTATTTTGGTTTTATTTGATCAGCTCTTCTTAAGTCTTAGAGAAATATCTTGTTTTGAATTATTTCTATATCTAGATTATAACTAATAACCTTTATATACTGAGGTTTCTTTTTAGCAATTCTTGCTTTTCTATTTCTATAATATACTTTGATAGATTTGTAAAGATTTTAATTTTATTTGTTTTTTTTCTTTTGATAAATATAAATAAAGAAAGATCTTTAGATTTTCTTTTTATAGTACTATTTCTTATAATTGGTCAATTGTTTTATTCTTGTTAAGTTTATAATCTAAGCATTTTTAGTATGAGATTTTCTATATAATAACTTTCAATATTTAACTAGAATTTTTCTTAAAGTTCTTGAAATTACTTTTAAAAATATTTTTTTTATAATTCAGCAGTTCTGCCACTTTTTATTTAAAATTAAACTAAACTAAGAAATTTATATTTTCTAATAATAGCTAACTAAAAAGTGACTTACTCATGCTTGTGCCAGATATGACTTGCCTTAGTAGACTTCAAGCTTCTCTCCAAGCCTCTAACTTACTAGAGATTATACTTTGGTTATGGGCTGGTGATACACTGTATCAAAAATAACTTTCTTTTTATAAAATGAAATACAAACACAAATGCAAAGAGTATAACAAAAAGAGAAAAAAATACTATAGTATCAAGTTTTGGTTCACCTAAACCAATAAAACTAAATAAAACAAAAATAAAAAAAATGAAAAAACAAAAGAAAAAAAACAAAGATAGCACTATTAAACTTGTGCAAGATTATAAAAATCATATAGTACTACAAATAAACTAGTCTGAACTCTATGCTAGTTATTTATATCTATATCTAAGATGTAAAAATATCAAAAACTATCTAGTCTTGAAGTAGAGTTCCAAGTTTAAAATTTCTATTGCAGTCTTAGCAAATTTTTTGTAATATTCTAGCTTGTAACTTTCTGGGCAAAGTTAATGAGCTGTCATCGTCAACTCACATCAGCAAATTAGGTGCTCTTAGTGTAATTATTGCAACCTCTTAAGCAAAAAGTATCTGACACTTTTAACCCAAAGTATATATGTACACATGTATATATATTTTCTTTTTTGGCAATGATTGTTGTTGTTGATCTTTTGATAGAAGTATGCTATATTTTTCACTTTTTAGTAAAATTTTGTAAAGACTAAGAGTGGAGTGTAGAAAAGGATTTCAGTTTGCAGGTAGCTTCAAACTTTGGTAAAGAAAGTGTTAAAAACTCACTTGTTGTTCTCTTTAAACCAACTAACTTTAACTTTATTAACAGAAGCAGTGCTTCTATTAAAATTTTTGCACAAAGGCACCATCTTCTTATGAGTTATTTTGTACAGAAATGTTTTAAACTTGCATGCTGAATATACAGAGAAGTCTAAGAGAAGTATGGAAATCCTTGATCTCTATAAAAACTATTATTTGTAATTGTCTCTTCTATTTTTCTTCAACAAGTTTCTGTTTTTTGTTAGCTATAAGTTTGATACAAGTGATCATTAGGGTGAGTTGATTGTACTCTTAAAAATATTGATATTAAGTTTTTTGTTTCTTAATACTTTTACAACTATCCATTTTTTAATTTGGTAATCTAATGATAAACTATTCAAACAAGCTCTTAAGTACCATCTATTAGTATTGTATTTTAATTAGTTTAGTTTAGATTTACTAATATTAGTTTTTTAATTTGATTAAACTATTTAGCTATTCTGCTCTTATTTATTTTTTTAAGAAACTTGAGCTATTCTAAATTAGTCTATACAAATTTAATTTATTAATTTTCAAAATATAAAAATTTTAAACTAACCTGGCTCCTAAAGCATTGGATATAAGAAATTTGTAAATTAAAGCTATTGTATTTAAAAATAATTAATTGTGAATTAGTAAAAATATAAGCAGTACAAGATCTAAAAGCTGTAATAATTGCTGAAAATATAATAACAAGTTCTGTTTTAAAGAAACAAACCAATATTTGATTTGTATTTAAAATCTATATAATATATTTTCTTAATGAATTTGTATTTATCTAATATCTATTGAATAGTTTGGTAAGCCAAAGTTAAGTACAAAACCATCTATATAGAAAGAAATTTTGAAAAGCTGAATATTGAAGTTTGCAGTAGTTTAAAAATATAAGTAAAAGATCCAGATTTGAAAATAGGTAAAATTAAAGCAAAATTATAAAGAATATTAGAAATAGGTAGAATATGAAGAGGATAATGTATAGCAATAAATATTAGATCTAAAAAATTAGTATAGAGTTTAATAATTTTGTTTGCTAAATTGTAAATACAAAAGAATTTAGATGCTAAATTAAATAGAATAAATAGTACTATATATATTTATTAATAATAAATTTGTAGTTATAAGAGCAATCAAAACATAGTTTAATATTAATAGAAGAAGTTGAATATAGTTTAATAAAATTGTGACTAAAAAAAGCATTGCCAGTATGTTACAATAAAGGTTTTCTTTCTTTAGAAATTTTATAAAGTCTTGGTACAATATGTTTATAGCTAAGAAAATAGTAATTGTTATAATTTAAGAGTCAGTCTAAGTAAAGAATATAATGTTGCTGTAGGGTGTGATGACTTAGTGAAGTTAGTAAGTTGTTACACCCTCAAGCAGCAAGACAAAAGCAGAACAATAAACCTTTTTTACAATATTCTTTCAAAATATTTGATGCAATATGCAACTTTCCAAATATTTTCTTTATTATCAAAATTCTTTCAGTATCTTCTTCATATGTAATATAAAAAGCTAAAAAATATTTGAAAGATATTTAGAAAGGTTGCATATTATATCAAGGATTTTTGAAAAAATAGTTGTTGAAAAGGTTTATTATTTTACTTGTGAATTCCACTAGCAATAAAATTTGAATTTACAGAATGTATTAGAAAGACTGTATCCTATTGGGTTTTAGAACTTGTAACAGAATTGCACTAGCTTGTACTAGAAGATATTAGAACATTTAGTGTGATGCATAAATTACACAAAACTCAAGTAAAACTATTAAAAATATCTAGCAGATTGATGGGATATAGAAGCCTGCATAGCAAGTTTTAAGTAAAGAGATAGCACAGATCTTCAACGATACTACATAAAGGATTATTATTCAGAAGTAATAAGAACTAAACAGAACCAAAGTGTTTGGCAAAAGCACTCCATCAACCAGGCTGCCAGAGAAATAATCAGAGGAAAAGAATCCAACTATAGAAGCAGGAGCAAGTTACAGCTCTTCTGAGCTATCTGAATTAGTAGTTTGGGGTGATGGGAGTATAGTAGATAGTTTGTAAAGTAAGTTTGAGCAAGCTTTGCAAGGGCGCAGAGTAGGTAATGATAGGGAAATAAAAGGTCGTAGGTGCTTGTCTTTGAATTTAGCAT